GCAGAGCATACCTGCCTAACTGACGTGTTTGGATTTTGACTGACAGGGAGTGGTTTGGGTTGGCTAGTTGTTCTTTACTCACACCTAACATGCTGATCTGTTTGCTTTTAAATTAGTGCTAGGCTCAGTGCCAAACACACAAAATATCCAAGTATATCTCAACTTACAGACCTATGCTTGAAATGTAAGCTGGCGTCATAGAATTTGCATTTGTCTTGGGGAAGCACTTGCCTTGATGGCCCCCTTTCTGATGAGTTCATTGTGCCCTTGTCAAATACAGCTCCATACTTAAATCCCTGAAGTTCACTCGCAGGCCAGAATCTTAGTTCTTTGTATCATGTCCCAGATACACGTAGTTCAAAACACAAGTATTCAGATCAGAGCTGATGTTCATTCAGCTGACACAAACATGCTGCGTGCCAGGAAAATATACCCCTCAGAGATCTTTGGTACTCAGCAAGGCAAAAGAAAGAGGGACTGCAAACAAAGGCACTCTCATTTCTAATAGAAGGTTAACATCCAAGATCTTATCAGGAACATTCAGGAAAAGGGTGATTTACATAAGTGGGTAATTTTTTTTTCAGTAAGTACTGTGGTGCCAATTAGGAGGGCTCACATGATGCTATAGATGTTCCAGTGTAGTGGTTTACTCATGACATTAATGATTGCTGTTACTTAAACGAGTAAGTTGAATGATGTAGTCCATGGAATTTCATCTGGCTGAGCAAACTGCTCGGATGAATTTTGCTTAGGTGGACGCGGGACATTTCATGAGCTTTCACGGATGCAAAAGAGTGAAATGTCCTCTCCACCTGTGTTAGCAGGGTCAGCTGAGAGATGCTTCTATCAGAGGGATGAGCTGAGAGACTGAGACACAGGCTTTGCTTCCCTGGCAGAAGCGTGAAGACACTGGGTGAATTTGTGTCTTAATCCAGCTGCAGGGAGGACTGCCGAGAATGTAATTCTGTCTGGGTTGTGTCAAGTACAGAGATAGCATTACAACCAATAATATTTTCCCTGCTTTGAGGGAAATTTATATTGAATATTTTCCCTCTTTGCAACCTTCAGTCAGCAGAACTCAGAATACTTGCTTCAGCTCACTGAGTAGCAGTAAGCTGGGCACTTGTTTTGTTCTAGTTTTATTAGCTGCCTCCAGCCCAGGTGTTTTGCAGACTGTTTAGATGAGGGTTAGCACTTTTAAATGATCAGTATTTTAAGAATAAGCCAAGAGATGACACATTTGAATATTAAGGCCAGGATTGTCTAAGCTTTAAGTAGGTGCAGATCAGATTGACTTGTGTGATTGCATTCAAAGACCAGGGGAGCAACTCCTCCCCAGTACACGGCTAAAGGGGACCAAAGTGTAATATGGGTCTGTTACATGACCTGGCAAGTAGGGGCATGGCCATGGTGTCACCAGACACGTTGATAAATCAGTAAACCAACGTGTTAATACCGTAGTGCAGTGAAGGGATGTGGTGCCATCAGAAGAGCTAGCCGCAGAGGCAGTGCTTCCAGGAAAACGCATGCCTCCAGTCCTGCTGCTTTTTCACATCCAAGGCACGAATAAGAAAAAAGAGGTTGGAAGATCAGATTGGGGTCTGAATGAATTTTTCCTGTTGTCTGTATTTGTGTTAATGACTGCAGAACGAACAAGCTCTGAATTTTAGTAATGGCATTATGAACCTGTTTTGAGGTGATGTTATTGCTGCCATCTTCTAGGAGGATGTCAGTTTTTCTTGTCTTATCTAATATTTTTTGGCTTTATCGTTTGAAGTAGTATAAACCAGCAACAGAAAGCCTTTCCCTCATGGCTTCTTCACAGACCTGTGATGAGTTATCAGTCCTTTAGTCTTTTGGGGTAGACCTGATGCAGACCATAGAAAAACTACAAACTAGAGGTAGTTGCTGTGGCTGGATGGTTTCCTTTGGGTGGATGAGAAGAGCAGCTCCAGTGAGAGCTCGGCACCTTCGGGGTGCTCAGGGGCAAGCAGCACCTCTTGTGAAGCATTCACACAGTGTGTTTACTGGAGAGTAGGGGATGGAAAACACTCAGTGTACAGGTCTGGTCACTGACATGCATAAAATAGGGAAAATAATTTCCCCATTCATTACCCAGGCGGTACCCCTGAACTGTCACAGCTTCCATTGTTATGCTAAGGAGAAAGAAAAGTTCACATTTGAAGATAAAATGGTCTTTTTTTTTTAAACAATCACACAGCTTATGTAACAGCTCTCTTAATGGTAAAGTACAGCTGGAGCCTGGAACATGTTGTTTACAGAAATATCACGTAACGGGTAACAATGTAAAATGTCGTAAACGGCGCTGAAGGCGATAGGCGTGGAGAGGGATGGGAGGTTGGGCGCAGCGGACGCGTGGCTGTGCAGATGCCAGCGTGCTGCCTTCCTGAAGGCAGGAGGTTTTGGCCATGCTTTTGTAAAGCGAGAGCAGTGGGCTTTGTGGAGGTGGTCAGAGGACTGGCCTGACGAGCCGTCGCAGGAAGGGCAAATGGTACTTCTCAAAGTGGGGACAGGAGAGGGACCGCGAGATGCGAGCTGGCACAGCACAGGCGGGGACCGTAGGGAGGATTTCAAGAACTGACAAGGGTAGAGGGGACTGCGGCTGTAAAGACTTGGTGTGACAAGGAGAAACAGGAGGTAAAGAAGACAGAAGTGATGAAGCTCTGGAACTTTTTCACGCTAAGATTACTGTAATTATATTTTCATGCTTAGGAGAAAGGCTGCTGAGTAACCTTGCTCTTCTCTTTCTTGAAATGATAACCACTGACTAATAGACACGCATGCAGAAACACACACACTCACACCCACACCAACATGCAATTGCACAAAATTAGGAAAATTGCCCGGCTTTCTTCTGAGATATTCAAGGTTTGACAAAGCAAGCTCTGACTCAAACAGCGTTAGCTGAAACCGGGTCTATGGCAGTCAACCTACAGCATCTGCTTTCCAGCATATTCATTTTCACTTATTTCCTTGAGACAATTCATAAGTTTTGTATATGTTATTAGTAAAAAATAGAGCTATGGATTTTTTTAGTGTCATGATTTTTTATAATATGTTGAACTATTTTGTTCAGTTTGGAGTGAAAAAAATAGACTTATGGACTGTTTTCTGTTGTTTACTTAAACATTGTATGAATGATGAAACAAAGTTGTAAACATTCATTATTTAGTGGAATCATATTTTTTTAAAAGCACATCTTTGTACACAAATCAATTGTAAATCCCCATTAACGGTATTTATGTTCCTACATCAAAATTCCTTGTTTGCAGTCAACCACATATCTTGGGCTTAGATCTTCCTCATACATGTAATGGAATCACAATGCTGTCAGAGACATCACAGCCATTTTTGTAAAATATGATGTTAAGGAAGACTGAGTTCATTGTACTATACATATGTAAATGCCTCCCTTTCAATAGTCTCAGGGGAAAGAAGATGCCAGAAGGAATTCTGAACCAGTGTACGTATTAATTGTCACCACCTTTCATGGGATGGTAAAGTGCATTCATACAAGAAAAGCATTAAGAATCAAGGAGGCTGCACAGGGAAGGTGAAGGCTTTTGAGTGAGACTTACGGGAGTCACGTGGTAAATTATAATAATCTAACCGCAATCTAGAAACAGCCACTACAGATTTACAGCAGCCTACAAAAGATCAGACTGCAGCACAAGTTCTTTGTTATCGGTGTACCCCTACAATGATATCCGAGTTCAGAATAGCTATTGGCATAGTTCGAAGCAGTGCACGTGTTGTTCCTCTGTAGCTCAAATTCCTTTCAGTTTCAGAAGCGTAGGGGACTGGTTATCACTGAGGACAATTAATTGATTGTTGATCCTGTATGTTTATGTGTTTGTGTGTGTGAAGACATTCTGAGCTTCTGAAATCTGGCTGTGGATAAGAAATCTACGGTTTGACTGAATGATTGGACTGAAAGATTTGCAAATAAATCATCTGGACAGAAACACAGCTCCCATGGATGTTTCTGTACAAAGAAGCTCCACTGGAAACCACTGTGTGTGCTTGAAGTAGATGACCTGTCTCTTTGATTGGCATCCGCCCAGATTTAAAACAATTAGAACTATGCAAAAATTGTAATTTCCTGAATCAAACCAGTTAATTCATTGAATTCCCAGCTATATACTATAATAAAGGATGCAAATCAACTTCTGATGGCTCCTACATAGCATGACTTGAAGGAGATGACCGTTCCCAGTTCCACCACCTTTTGCTTGGGGACTTGACTTGAGCTCGGTCTGCCGCTCAGACGCGGCTGTTCACAAGAAATGAAATGCTGTTTGCTTGTTTAATTTCCCACTGTGCAGTCTTTGGTCATTCTGTGCTGCTTCTCTCCTCTGTTGAGGCTGCTAAATGAGTTGGTATTACCTTAATGAAAGCATTGAAAGTGTGGTTAATGCTGCTAGACTCCATACTTAAAAACATTTTTTGAAATCAAAGTGAGTATCAGTAAAATATTCTCCTGTGGTTTGTGGCTCCGATAACCAGTGCAATGACTTAATTGGCATTCTTGTGCGGCGCTTGGATCTTTGCCAGTTAATGACCCATTGCTGCAGTCTGCACAGGCAAATTACCCCTTCTGTCCGGCTCTTCAAGCTGATGGACTTTTGCCCACGTAATGGCTGCAGGCTCCTATTCTCAGCTGGCACAGACCCCAGCACGACCATAAACATCCCTGAGAGGATCATAATATGAAATATTGGACAGATTCTGATACGCCTCACAGTAATATACCGCTGAGCAATTCTGCTGAAGTCAGTGACTTTGGCAGTGGTGTAGCTGAAAGAAGAAACTGGTCCCTACACTGTTGCTTTCTCAAGTAATGAAGCACTTGCAGGCTGTTAGCTAGTCCGTGTCCCTTTAGGTGATGCAAGTTTTTGTGAACCCGTTGTCAAACATTCAACACAGTTTTTTATTTTTGTTCTGTTTTTAAATGGTTGCATTGTCTCTTCCCCCTATAGGATTTTCCATTCTTCAGGCGATTATGGAAGCAGCAGTACAGAACAACTGGCAAGTGACAGCCAGATCTGTAGGAAGCATAAAGGATGTTCAAGAGTTCAGAAGAATTATAGAGGAGATGGACAGGCGGCAAGAAAAAAGATACTTAATTGACTGCGAAGTAGACAGAATCAACACCATTTTGGAACAGGTATATGCTTTTCAGAAATTGTGATCTCTCTGTGACAGACATCATTAATGTTTCCAGAACTGTCTGTTTCTAGAAATTAATTAAATATGCATTGAGATGTGAGTCCCAACAACTGGCCGGTTACCTAGTAAAATTAAAATGCCTCAGTGATGCTTATAGTTGATGGCAGCACTTATACGTAACCTATCAGGAAATGCCTCTGTGATATTTTTTTCCCAAATGTTAATAATGAATTCTTTTTAAGTAGGTTAAGAACCTAAAACCTCAGCTGCCAGAGGAGCATTTCTGGCATCAGGGCTACTTGTAGGGACTGCAAGACAGGTGCAGTTTGTTAAGTGGAACATGAAACAAGAAATAAAAAGCCAGTAAAGTAGTTTTGAATCATGTTAAAGAATTCCCAAATGGAAATGTTGCTAATGAAAAATTCAGCTGGTAGTCCAAATGGCTCATTAGCACTTTTTGGTACATAAAGCCCTTCCCCCTGCACACCCGGTGCTGTTGACAGGCTTGAATTGTAGGTGATAGAGTCTAAACACCTTTATTGGGGAAGATGCACTTTTGAGTCACTGTTTTGCTGTTGCGTGGCTTTCCCAGTGTTTGCTTTCTCGCGGAGGAATAGCCATACCCCCTGGCCATCCCAGGGTGGTACCCAGAATGCCTGTGCCACTGGCGGTGTGAAGAGGTGTAGTAACAGATGCACATCGCAGGGAGCAGAAGCAGGACAGGTCCCTGCTGCCTGGGCTCACCGCAAAGCTGGTGTTGGTATGGAACCAAATCCATGCTGTTTGTTTATTCATAGGCATGTGGGAATTCACTTACATTAAGACTGAAGAACCCTTTGATTATTGCCACTTCATAAACGTAACTGTGGGTTTATAGTATGGAATAGATCAAAAGTAACATTTAAATTTCATGAAGCATTAGCATATCTCTTAGAAATGTTGTATTGTGTACTAGTAGCAAACTGACCTCACTGCCATAAACCCTGGGAAATGCAGAAGCCACATTTGCCGAGTTTCTTCTCAAAATACTCAGTTCCTGTCAAGCCTTGATGTGCATCGCCGACGGCCAGTCTGCAGGGACTGGGTCGCTGTAGTCATGGCCAGGTCCCGTAGCTGCTGGTTACAGAGGACAAGAGGAAGGAGCGTGGTGCTCAAGAGAACATAGCACAAGCCAATGCTGGTCCATAATTCTGACAGCTAGCATGCTTGTGATACTAATACATAGCATTGTATTTTACACTGTATTTTTAGTCAATATGGTGAGTGCTCTCTTTAGGGAAATTCATACAGCAAAGTGAAATAAACTTCTCCCCCCTCCCCCCCCTTTCATTTGTTCATGTTCTTGCAAAAGATGCAAAACACGATCCCCACAGCCCACTCTTCAGAAGATGATGCAGGAGAGCACTCCTGAGCCAAGCTTAAATAGCTCTTTGGGCCCACTCTTAGCTGGGGAACAGGCCTTTTGTTTGATCTCTCTAACTCCATTTACATTTTGTTCTCTCTTTTTCCTATACTGTGCAAGTGAGAGAAAAAAAAAAATAATCAAACCGTTACAGTGCCTAAAATGAAAGCTATATACCAAGCAAACCATATAGCAAAAAACTGGCAAACTCTTTTCTTCTGCAAGCATTCTAAATTCAAACCTAGTGAAGTTGTAATTTTATCAAGTGTTTGATTCAGCTTTCTGTCAATGTGATTAGCAGCTGTGTAACTAAAGATTTGCTATTGGCCCCCCCAGGTTTCCCCAAACTCTACAGTACGCTGTACAGTACTCACTTTTGCATCATTAGAGCCTTTCTATTATCATTATTGTATTGATAGAGCCCATCTCTGTACTGTTAAATGACTCTTTTTCTGTATTATGCCCGCTGTCCATCTTTCAAACTTTATTCACGCAAAATTGTGAAACTGTGACATTTCCATGAAATCTTTATCCTAAATTATCTCAAATATTTCTAAAAGATGTTAAAATTTTCTTGCAGTTAGATTTTAGGACTGTTTCAACCAGTTTTAGCCACTATCAGTCCTTGCAACCAAATCCTGCAGACATTTTCACACATAAATACTATGTTGTATATGTCACACCATTGATGTAATATGACTTAATTTCATTGAAGATACTCATGAGCAAAATTGTTTGAATTTGCAGTACCAAAAATGGATTCAGAACTTCTTGTTCAGGAAACAAAGCTAGATAGTAAAGCAAACTAAAGATACCTTCTGAGATAAATGCTCTACTACTAATCATGTCTTTTTAGCAGTCTAACAAGTAGAGTCCGGTTATGCAGCACTTTTTTATGAGTATTGTCCCATTTATTTCACTGGGACCATTTACTTGAAAAAGAATTGCCCAAGTAGATCTCAGGCTTCTGCCTCTGATGCTAAAAATATCTTCTGGCAACAACTTGCAGAGGTTTTTTTATCTGATACTGAAAAGCAATGACTTAAGTTTCTGAAGGGAAAGTCAGTAATGGTGGACTCCAGGCTGATAGCTGAAGAATTACTGGTTTTAGGCTTTTCCTTCCATCTCCTCTGCTTCCCTTGTTATCTTCTCATAAAGTAGTTTAAAAATCTCACAAATATGTGTGGTACGTAAATCCATACAGCCAATTTGCTCAAGGGAGTGGTGAGTCGTCTTCCTTATAGCCAACTATGTTTGCTAATAGCATATCATTGAGGGGTAAGATAACTCTGGATTTGCCTATTTCAAATCTAGCATTTTATTGCAGTTTAGAAAGTCAAATCACTGCTTTCTTTGGAGTCTAGAAATTCCGCTTGGCTAAAAGGCAGTAACATCTGAGCACATTAACGGCATGCTGACTGCACAACTGCAGGTGGCTTTGAAGAGCTTTTTCTCAGTGAGAGCAAAGGGAAGCCGAGACTCTCTACCTGTTAAGACAGAGTACTGTTGGGCAAACTCTGTCCCACAGAGTGTTGGCATAGGCTGCCTCAGTCCAGCTGCCTTTCCATCCCTCTCCCTTTTTTGACCTCTTCAGGAGCACATCTTCAAAGCTCAACCCTCCCATCACCATCTGGGAGTGATGTCTCCCTCCAGAGAGAGGGTTTACTGTGGTCACTGTGGGGGTGTGTGGCACCTGCCATTTCATTTTCTCAGGGACAACAGCAGCATTTGCCATTGACTCTGGATTTCAGAACTCAAATAGGACTTATTCAAGAACAAAAGTCATAGCAGAAATAAACAGACTGTAAACCACTAAACAGTCTACACACGTGCTGAGTTTGCTATCAGACTGTTGGGCTCTTGGCCAGGCCATTCAGCAAGCTTGTCAGTTCTCTGCTCCAGAAACCACATATCATGTCTTTGTGTTAGTGCTTGGATTAAATAAGAGTGACGTCTTCTCCTGTATCAGGCTGGTCAGCGCGTGCGGTTCTCTTCCTTTGATGCTTTTTTCAACCGGTTCAAACCAGGGTATACCTCTTTTCCAAAAGTGTAGGCTTGTCTAAAGACAACTACACATCTAAGGATTTTCTTCAGAACTTCGCATCCTGCTGGAATATTCTGTACCTTCCTCCAGCAACGCACAGACATGCGAGTCAGTGACCTTGAGTATTCCATATGCCTTTAGCATCTGGCACATCTGTACGTCCCTATGTTTCCAAGATCTGAAACCTGTCATATGAAGTATTTCTCTTCTCAGGGCTGGCTGGTACCCAGGAAAGGATCTCTCCCAGCTGTCTTCCCCGGGTGTGTAAATGTAAGGTAGGGGAAAGAGGACACCTCAGCTCCTCCTCTGCCTGGGTAACCTGTTTTGTGCCAGGTTTCACTATGCAGCACATCTGGTTTCGTTCCCCTTCCCGAGAATCTTGTGATGAGCTCCATGTTTTGTCCTAGAGGTGGATATCCTGCCCAGATCACCTCTGGCCCTGTCTCTTCAGCTGCAGAGTAAGGGGAAACAGAGAGATTAATAGTCATTCTGTAAGTTACCATCTGTTTGTTCACTTGCCCTATAGTTCTATAACCATTGAGCGTGTGGATCCATATCCCTCCTTCCACAACAAAACTATATCCAATTTAATCATCTAGTGGCCTCTCAAGCATACAGATAGCAACACTTATGTCATGCAAAATTCATAAGCTCCCCACACTTCTTGTCCCTTGATGCTAAAGTATTCCAGTATTCCTTCACAGATAGATACAAAATTTTGTTCTCATAAACAGAAGAACATTTTCTTCCGAGAACTAACAGTAAGCTTTAGCTTGTTCAACCGTGTATTTAGAGACATATTTTGAGTTAAGAAATATGTTTTTCTTATTCCCAAGATAACAAGCTGTATTTCAAACTAGAGTGGCTTTGTGTCCATTTAGAAGAAAATCTCCTGAGGGAAAATAAGAAGGAAGAAACTCCATTCAGGATCAAAATGGTGAAACTTTACAAAAGACCTGTTTATTTCAGAGGCTGCATGCTTTTATCAAAAGGGCACTATCTCCAAACATAGTCATAAAGGTTAGGCTCCAAGGCAATCTCTGTACTGAGCAGAGGCATCTCACAAAGCAGAAGCAATATTACAGTAGAGAATGCAGTCCCCAAAATTTTACAGTGACAGTCAAACTGTCAAAGAAGACTTGAAGTAAGGCGTGTGTAGGATCAAGAAGGGTAATCTGATTGACCAAACTCTGTCCATTGCAAGCACTGACTATGACTTGACCTTTGAGTTTGAAATTTGGAGATTAGGAAGATGGGCTGCAGGTTTTCAGTACAGCCACCGCTGTATCCCTCTGCAGACCTGTTCAGATCTCAGCGGACTGTGCTCACTGCACGACAGCTTTCACATTTGGGGTGTCATAAGAAATACAAAACTGCGGGATTCGATTGACCAATAGTCATTAAAACCAACAACAATAAGGAAAAATGTAAGTGAAAAAATCAATGCCACTTTCATGTAAGCTTCCTGGTTTATGTGTTACATTATAAACAGTGTGGTGTGGGTTTGCCTGTATTCTCTGTAGCAATTAAAAATATAATAACTGCCTATAAA